TAATCAATGAGTGGGATGTCGTCCCAAGGAATGTGTTCACCATTGAAGTTTAAGAAAAGGATCATCTCGACAACGAAGGTGTCAAGGTTGGTTCTCCGTGGATTCAATAGCACACCAGCGATTCCAAAATCACTCACAATACCCGCAGCTAAAGCAGGATTCCAAAGATACATCTAGCAACTGCAGCGCGGTGAGGAAATCTGCCCTGGTGTTTCATCCAGAACCCATCCAGCACATCCTGAAGCTCAAAGTCATGCGGCATCACCAGTGCGCGGGTAGACTTCATAAAGCTTTCTATCTCCTCATCCACTAAAGTCTCCAAAGAGCATCCGACTGAGGTATTGCTTGCCACTGAAGCTCTCATATCAAAGAGGCCCTTAAAAAGGTTTGATGTTGAGACCAAGCTCTTCCTGGGCGCCCGTACGTTGCTTGCTAATGATGATGTGCCTCCTGCGTTTTGAATACCAGTTAAAGAGCTCGTACCTCTGCCACTCCAAAGGTCATCCTTTTGAGTGTTCCCTACCTCAAACCCTGCACCACCTACGGTAGAAAGCGTCGTGGCCGCTCTTATTACCATTGCTTTAATCTTGTACCAGACAGTTTTCTTCACTGCCGTAACTAGCTTTGCCCGTTGTTGCTCCGAGAGTCTTCCTTCGTAAAGGCTGTCAATTACCAACTATAGAAAATTTAGCCCCGTCAGGTTGCGGATAAGAGCGCAAGCCATTTCAAAAACGTAAGAATGTGGTCATTTGGCTTTGTCTTTCTTCGTTGGATAATCGGAAAGCAGCTCGAGATCGTAGCGAGCAAAGAATCGCTTCTTGGAGGCCTTCCTTATCAGCCTCTTGGTCTTCCGCATGGTCTCCTCCAGCATATGGTGTTCTACAAATAATGCGTCCTCCTTGCTCTCACCATTTTGACTCTTGAAGGTCGGATACCTTGCAAAGGAGCTGCGGCTGACATAGTGTTCAGCTGGAGACCAACAAGACCAAGTAGATCGAGGGCACCACTGGGCTTGCTGCAACCTTGAGTTTATTGCATCAGCGCTCCCGCCGGGGCAATGAGAGAATAGAGTTGCCTCAACTCCTCCTTCAAAGACGACATCAGGTTGGAGAGCTTTGGTCTTTTATCGTAGTACTTGTCTATCGGATCCCAAAGCTCCAAGAAGCGCTTAATAACTTTGGTAAGGCTTAAGAAACGTTGAGATGCATGGCATGGCTGATGACAGCAAAAGATGTGTTTATCAACTCGTCCTGGAGCTCATAAAATCGTTGTTTCCCTTGTGGCGACTTGTTCAAGTGCTCGATGACACTACGCATCTTCTGCAGAGTCTCTCGGCACTCTATCTTCCCAACCTTGCTTGGATCCAAGTTTGTCCCGTATGATTCTTGCAGAGCGCAGTTTGACAGATGAGGTACACACCACTTCCAAAAAGCTGCCGTTAAGAGCTTAGATAGCAAGCGCCTTCCTTATATCACCTTCTCCGTCAGATGTAGAAACAGCAAAATCCGAGGGCAAAAGGCCGAACTCTGCCAGAACATCTATGACCCATAAATAAAAGACCTCTGCTAACCGGGAGCTTTTGTATTCCACCAAGTCTGGACAGACGTGCTTTATGGCGAGATTGGAAGTTCTCATACGCCATTCGATCGATCCTGAAGTCCTCTTTCGTAGCGTGATATACTTCAAGAATCAAATGATGAAGTCTCTTGCGCATGGGTAGATGTTTGCCATTAGGTGACCCACTGCATTTAGCAAAATGCTGAACATTGTCATCCTCGCAGAAGCCCAAAGGTAGCAGCTACATTATAACCAGACGAGTCCATAGCATTTCGTAGAAGCGTTTCGGGTCATCCTTAAAAAGAGCGGGGGCCTTCGCAGCATTGACCGGCTCTACCTTACGCCGCCTATTTCCCTCCGTCGTTTCCGTCTGAATTGAAGAACGTCCTTGTGCCGCTTTTAAGTGCTTCATAGCATTGGTTGATGAACTACTATTGACCGAAAGGCATTGCTTTGCCCGTCGGCATTGCTCGCTTGCCAGGCAATACCACTTCCAACGTTCGCATCAGATTTTTTTCGATTCTCACTCCAATGTCGCAAGCTAAGCTCCTATTAGGAGTCTTCTTCGGTACGGTTGCCATCCTATAGCCCTTCTCTAGATCTTGCGGGATCGCTTGCACTATCACAGCGGTAGCGTTCTTTCTAGCACCAGCGACCGAGTCCTTGTCGACTGTCGTCTCCTCCACGTCCCCAGCAAATGCTCTTTTGCTTTAGGAGTGCTGCTGGTGGAGTTTCCGCTTACTTTGATATGAGGTGGTGTTAGCTTCTGCGTTGTGCTTCTTTCGTGTCCCTTTAGTAGTGGCCATAAACTGGCGCTCTTCATCGTTGTTATCCCCAGTATCCGCATCGTCTGGAACGAACAGGGGATCGACATCATCACCGACGATATTATCATCTTCTACCACCAATATGGTAGAGCCTTCTATGTTGTTGCCGGAGGAGGATGCAGAGTACTTGTCTTTGTTCCTCTGCCGAAGGCTCTTTGCTGCTGCTGAAGGATCAGATGATTTGATAAGGTCGGCAAAGATATCATCCCCAAGAATGAGAGAAGCGGCCTGTCGTGCCGCCGCA